GCAGCCAGGAACCAATTCCTAAACAGGAAATAAGGTATGGGCGTCACCACCTGTTCAAGAGAATGGGTAAGAATACGGAACGGGCGATAGGAAAGCTTATGTGACCCTATTAAAAAAAAAAACAAAAAAAAACAAGCAAAATAAAAACAGAAATTACAAAGGACAATAACAAATAAGTACAAATAAAAAAAAATTCCGATTCTCAGATAAATTATTTCGAGGAATGAATAATCAGATAACTAATTTGGAGAGTCAATCAGCGGCCATAAAACTTTTGACCATGCGTTGTTTAACTGACATTGAAGTATTTTAAGAGGGAGAGGAGGTAATAGGAATGGGTTAACAAGATTGGTAAACAACTCACTGTTCCCTGAGAGGCATCTGGTCAGCATGGTAGTGTAGCAGTGAGCTATGTGTACAGAGTAGACTGACATCGTTTCAATAGCGCTTAGATACAATTACGGCGGCTTTCAAGTGATATTTTTCTATGGCCGAAAGCATACTACAATCTCTCACTTGGGACGAGAGGTGATAGTCTGGGTGTGTGGGCTGGAGGACTGCTTTACTTAATCAACCTACTTTTCTTTCGACTTCTATCAAAGGAATTGGTGTTCTTGCCAGATACCAAGAACAAACAGGCAACAAGAAACGCGTGACAATTTTAAACATTCACGCCGGTAAATGTTATTAATACTGTTTATTATAAACAGAGCACTTACTTAAATATTTCTATCTATAAAAAAGAATGTATAAACATAATAATGTCTCAAAAATAATTGTCGGACTTTGTACATTTTATAATGTGTGACGTCATTTGTTTACATTTGGATACGTTTTGAGCAGATATAAATGTACGCGAGAGATTCATTGAAGATTGAAGATTGTAGTTTAAAGGCAGTAAAATCGACCATGCTAACCGAACAATTCTCCATGGCTCGATCAGTTCAGGCAAGACAGGCTAAATGACAGTTCCGTATAGGATACGGGTTCTATTCCAACCGGAGAAGAAATATTTTCTATGAAAATTTCCCGGGCGTTCAGGCCGGTAAATGTTAATAATACTGTTTGTTATAAATAGAGCATTTACTTAAATATGTGTATCTATAAAAAATGTATAAACATAAAAATATCTTTAAAATTATATATATATATATATATATATATATATATATATATATATATATATGGACGTATGAAGTGTAAATAGGAGTTTTAACTTAGTGTCAGTCCAAGAATCCACTTTGTTGGAAAATCGTTAAACCAAATTTCTACATTCATTTACCCACTCAAAATGGACTCCCATTAAAATGTAATATGCAGAATTAACAGTAAAAATGTACTAGCACTCTATGCCAGCGCGTCTACATATCCGCTGGCACACACACACATTATATATATATGTGTGTATGTGTCATCGCCGCCACTTTTATTAGAAATTAGGCAGAAATTCACTTCTGCCAACAGTCGAAAAAATGAGACCAAGGCTCAATACAAATACAGAAAATGAACAATGAAACATTAAAAAAGACATAAGGCAATTTTATTCATTTAAAAACTAATTCCTTTAATTTGGTTGAAGTAAGTCACGAGTCCGGAAACACGTGTAGCAAAAATATGAACAATCAAATATAGCGAAGTGATTTCGGCATTAATCACATTAACATTGCTATTTAATTCTTTTTATGAATTGTTTTTATTATATAAAATATAAGCTATACACTAATATATATATATATATATATATATATATATATATATATATATATATATATATATTGCCAAAAGGTTAGAAAAATTAAGAGAAATCTCAGTACAATTTTCAAAAATTGGCATTTACAGGATTTTAAGATGTAATATTGTTGAAACACCGAAATTTATGCTACCATGGTTTCTAGCAGAAGGCTTCATCAGTCATTTTCTTCTAGTTTTAGATATTAATGGAAAAGTAACCGATTCCTATAGTGCATTATGTATGTACGTTCAATTTTACACCTCTGAAAAAGGTATTTTAGAGCCCAACAGAGACGTAAAAAGAAGTCCATTTTCCCTAAGGATTTGCCTGATGTGAGAAGATATTTATAGCCTTTATGATCCGTTATCTTTTAGATACATCCACTTTTCTCTTTAAATAAATGTGTCAAATTTTGCTGCGCAGACGAGATTGTTACTTGATTTAACAACAAATACACACTGCATAGATTCGAACCTCGGGTCGACGGGATTAAAGGGGTAATATGTTGTTCTCTTTATCAGCTAGTATTAGTTAGGAAGTTAAAACAAATGTAAGGTTTCCATAAATCGGTCGGGTTTCGGACCCGGCCTGAAACGGTATCTAGCCACACTCAGGAGGTGTAATACAGCGGAACAGTCTGTCTGCGGATATATAGGTTTACATTGATACAGGCACACACACGCACACACGCACACACACACACACATATTTTTTGTGTGTGTGTGTTTGCTGGTGTGTGTGTCTGTTGGCGTGTGTGTGAGAGAAAGAGAGAGCGAGAGAGAGAGAGAGAGAGAGAGATCGCGTTTCAAAAAAATTCCAAACAGTATAAGTGCACCATGAACATCTGTATAAAAATATGACAGTAGCCCACGTTTTGAAAAATATGCAACTGTAAAACTATGAAGATAAGATGTTTCGATACATTTCCTTTTTTACCAATTATCATTTCTTTGTAGCCTATTTATAATCAAAATATATTTTGAAATAGCGAGAATAATTATTTTATTGCAGGCGAAGATTATAGTAAAAGATTTTTTATTTTATTTTGGATAATAACAATAATTGTTTTTCAGATGTATTTCCTAATATTTGACTCAAAACTTGGGGAGAAAAGACGGGTTCATAACTTTCGCAAGAAAGTTGAATCGAAAAATGTTTTTATTGATTTCTAATTCAGTGCCGTTACACAATACACAACCAGGCGAAAAAGATTAATATAGAAATAGAGAAAGATAAATGAACGGGAGATGGAAACACTTTTTAGAAAGAAACAATATTGTTATTTACATTATTTATTCTTACTTCTATACAATATTATTTAATTTGTCTTTCTGTATCTGTGATTTTACTTTTTTAAATGTGTATATATATATATATATATATATATATATATATAAAATGTATATATATATATATAAATATATATATATATAAATATATATATATATGTATATATAAATGCATATTTACATATATGTATATATGAATTTTTTAATTTTTGAAATTGATGCAACTACATAATATTTCGCTTTTATTTATTATCTCTAGACTTGATAAAGTCAAATGACCAAACGTGTTGGCAAGGACTAATTACTATTTTCCAATTGTCATTTCTATTCAGTTTGTATTATCTTCATAATTATTCTGAAATTTATATATATATATATATATATATATATATATATATATATATATATATATATATTATTAGGCATTTTAACTAATTTTTCAAACTAGTTATTTTATGGAAATTTAATTTAGTTATTAACAAAGTAAGATATTTCATATAACATGTAAAATTTATACTATACTCATATCACTAACAATATCGCAAATCTTTTATGAATTTTATCAAATTTTACAAGTCATGGACCAGGTTACTGAAAATCAAAGAAACATTATTTTGTAATAAAAAAAAATAATTCTATAATATACACAAAATTTACAAAGACAAATATTTTGAACAAAAAATGAAAAACAGTGATAAATAAAGTACGTTTCATTAAGAAGGATTATATATAAGGATGTTTCATTAAGACGGATTATATATAAGGATGTTTCATTAAGACGGATCCAAGTCAACAGTAAATAAATCAGTGTTATTTTTGAAAATTCATAGTCTTAGCAATTATGTGTGAAAAATAATAACCCCTGAAACAAATTGAAAAAAGAAAAACATTAGACGCTTAAACTTAATTCACATTTAAATTCGATCCAAGTTATTGGAACACCGTTTAGAAAGTTATAAAAACAATATTAATGCCACTGTATACGAATGATCTGAAACTGAGTATGTTTGTACGTAATTTATTAATACGTACGGATATTTTAATCTTTTCATCGTATTAATTACAATTAATATGATCAAAAGATTTATTTCACAATGACTTTAAAAAGTCTTTCTATGTCTAGGCCAGTAGACATTTTAGAATAAAAATCTACTGCAACATGCATACCTATTAAAGATAACGATAATATTCATAAGAAATAGACTTGGATTAATTAATTCCAGATTTTTTCATTGTGTATGTATGTATTTTGTACATATGCGACTTATTGTATGTTTAAAATAGAAATATTGATATATATATATATATATATATATATATATATATATATATATATATGTAGAAAACGAGGAGGATAGAGAGGGACAGAGAGAGAGAGAGACCTCCAATGTGTGTCAGACAGAAAGACAGAGAGAAGAGCAGAGATAGAAAAAATAAGAAAAAAAAACAGATAGAAACGGAGGGAGACAATGACAAAAACATAGTAAATATAAATGAAAGAGAAAGTGGCAAAGAAACAGAAAAGAAGGAAAAGAAAAAGTGTAGGGAAATGAGGAAATGTGAAAAACGAAGAAAATTGAGGAAGAAGTCATTTATATTCATAGACAACTGAAAAGATATTATGCAAATAAAAAAAAAGAAAGAAAAATTAAGTGTAGAATGAAAAAAAGAAAGATAAGTGAAGAAAATTAAAGGAAGATAAACAGGAATCAGAAATTTTTAAGATAGAGAAAAAAAAAGAAATAAATGCGAACAAGAAAAGAAGAAGTAAAAACAGTGGTGAAGAAAAAAAGACTGAAAGCAAAAGGAGAAAATTATGGAAAGCAGAAGGAAGTGTTAGAGGACGAAGGTTTAGAAGAAAACAGGGAGTAAAAAGAATAAAAGAAAGGAAAAAAGAAACGTAAAAACGAAAGAAAAAATAAGAAAAAGAAAGATAAAATAAAAAGGAATAAGTAAGGAAGGAATGAGATTGATATTCTTTAGGAGGAATAAAGGGAAAAAAGAATGCGTATGAAAGAAGGAAATGATGAAGAGGGAAGAAAAAGAAATGACAAAGAAGAAAGAAAAAGAAATAATAAAGAAGGAAGAAAAGGAAAGATTGAAGAAGGAAGAAAAAGAATTAAATCAAGAAGGAAGAAAAGGAAATAATGAAGAAGGAAGAAGAGGAAATAATGAAGATGTAAGAAAAGGAAATAATGAAGAAGGAAGAAAAAGAAGGATTGAAAAAGGAAGAAAAAAATTAAATCAAGAAGGAAGAA